ACTTTAAAACGACGAACTCTTTGACTTTCGCTGAGTTCACGGGGAACCCATTTATCGAGTTCCTTCCTCTTGTTAATTGTTTTGAGATGATCCGATATTGTCGAAATGCTGATTCATGACAATGCTTGCCCATTATCTGAGACATTTCTCTAACACTTTGACGTAGGTTTTGTTAGGCTAGTGTTTTCAGATATCGCTTGTCAATTGCAGAAGTACGTCCACTTACACTTTGATCTTCAAGAAGATGCCAGCACCGTACAGTCCGATTCCAAGTGGATCATTCACCCGATATTCTCTGTTAATGTTGGCAGCAATTTCAGAAGAATATGGCCAAGCTGAGACTCATGCAAGGAAGTAAACGCATCTCTTTTTTCATGTTCAAGATGAGGAGAGTATTATTTTTTAAATTCTGAAAGTCATTGACATACACTACGAGATAAAAAAAATGTATGCACCCATAGAAATTCGATTTTCGGAATTTTACTAAGACAAGTGAGTAATAGAATTGGTTTATTAATACAAGATATTAATACATGTGTACATATATACATTATACAAGTCAAAAAATGATTTAGTATTTTGTTCGGTAAGCTTTTGTTTTAATAACGGCCTTAATTCTTCGTGGCTTGCTATAGACTAAATTCTAAGTCCTTCACCAGATTTTCCCAGCTTTCATTTAATTCACGAAAAAGCTCATCGTCTGTGTTATTTTTCCTATTACGGGCATGCTTGTCCATTACCGTCTAAAGATTTTCAATTGGGTTACAGTCAGGACTCTTATTAGGCCACTGGAAGAGTTGCAATTTACCCGTATCGCGCTTCTTCTCTAGATAAGGTTTATTCTTTAAGGCAGTATGTTTAGGATCGTTATCGTGTTGGAACATGAAGCGTTGACCTTAAGCAGTTTTTTTTTTGCAGAAAGTCATATTTGAATAATAAGAATGTTGTGGTATTGATGCTGGTCCATGATGTCCATGATTTCTATCGACTTTCAATAGGTTCGTTCATTTTATTCACCTCGTGCTGTATATTTAAGAAAGAGACCACTTTAATCATTAGGAAAAGGTAATATATTTTTGTGTAACTATAATAATATCTTAGAACACAAAAGGGTAACTCTAAAATCGGACATTATTTTCCGAAAAAAAAATAACAATTGGAATTTGACCAATTAGCTCAATGGTATAAACAGAAGGTAACATTTCTATTGTAGAATATCTGTCTATATCTCTGAGATGAGGTATTAGGATTACTTACATTATTTACATTATTCGGACTGATAGCCTCATCTTTATATTCACAACGTCTCGGCCTCTATATCTCTGAGATGAGGTATTATGATTACTTACATTATTTACATTATTCGGACTGATAGCCTCATCTTTATATTCACAACGTTTCGGCCTCTATATCTCTGAGATGAGGTATTATGATTACTTACATTATTTGCATTATTCAGACTGTTATCCTCATCTTCATTGCCATATTCACAACGTTTCGGGCGTTGTACGCTGCGGTTTTCTTCAGGTGTTTGGAATTTCGAACTGAACCCTTTATTTCGTCCACCGGGTTATATTGTTCTAGTTACACATGCCACGCCTCTTCCGGATGTCTCAAGGTCACATGGCCCAGTGGATAAAGACCAGACCCAGAGAGTTGTCAGTTCAGTACCAGGCCACAGGAGTGGTGGACCAAAAACTTGGAAAGCTGAGTCAAAATAACTGAGAAACCCGTGAGAGGCATGGCACGTGGAACTAGAACAATCAACCCGCTGGACGAAATAAACGTTTCGGTTCGAAATTTCAATCACCTGAAGAACGCTCTATTGTAGAATACACAAAAAAAATATTGTTTGAGAGATTAAAAATCAAACCCATCACGCAAGGCAACCTAGAAATCGTGATCTAGTTGCTGTAGAAAAATAACCATTCCAGCAGACCACAGAAGAGAAAAGAAGTTCACAGTGCCAAAAAGATTCCTGAAACGTCTCAGTTAACTTGCTACTAAATTACTTTAAAAAAAATAGCAGTTCTTTTCTGCTCCAGGCATTTCGGCTTCACTCGCATTCCCACCAGCGTGATATAGTTTCCCCTGTGTCTTCTCTCCCAAAATTTCCATAGCTATTGTCCTGCTGAGCTTACCCTACGAAATTAAACATAATTCTAGAGGGTCAGCAAAGTCTCGTCATTTTACAGTTGAAATTATTAAATGCAAACGTGTTCTATATTAATAGTTCCTTTTTTCGTTCATGGACCTCTCTTCCAGCTTCTTGCTTTCTTACCAAATATAATCTGCAACAATTTAAATGCAACGTCAGTCGTCATTTTTTTGTTTCCTTGAATTCTGTTCGATTTATTGACCTCTATTCTCAATAACGCTTTCAAAGTTTCCTTTGTCATTCATCAAAAAAGCTTTGCATCTGAATCGAGTGAAATGATTAAAATAAAGCCTCCTGAATATAAGTCCTGGGAACAGTAAACAAAATGGAACTCATTCCCACTTAAAAAAAATTATACAAACTTCCTCCGTCGATTTACTTCGATTTGGTTTGGGGTTTTTTCTACTTCTTTCTGAGTAGTTTAAGTAAACTAGATTACCCAAGGGGTCACCTCTTGATTCTATTCATGCCAGTGACTAGAGATTGTCTTTAAGATATCTGGTGCTAATGGATTAATGACTTTCTAAATTAATGGGAATATAAACGGCCTCATCAAAGACTTGATCTTCGATTTCCAATTCAGTTTTCCGCGCAGAGGAACGTGACAACAATCTATAGTAATGGAAGTATTAACCGTTTCCTTATAAGGAAACATTCAATGACCGGGGAGCCAGTGCTGCTTTCAGTTGAAATTTTAGTTCAAATCCCGCCCTCATCCGTCCTGGGTATGACGATAAACTACATCCGCGTCCTGAGTAAGACGATAAACTACATCCGCGTCCTGGGTAAGACGATAAACTACATCCGCGTCCTGATTGCTGGTGTTCCCGGGTCTACCCTGACCTGTAGTGGTGGCGCATGTGGGGTTCCCATGTATGGGCAAATGCTTACCCATTCAACACCGTGAAAGTATAAAAATAGCTTTTTATACTAACTACTTTTTTTTTTTGGAAAAAATATTATCAGCAATACATTACATTTTTGAAAAAGAGGGTTGTTATCAGCAATACATTTTTGGACAAAAATGTGGTCAGCAATATATTTTTGAAAAAATATTACCAGTAATAAATAAATAACCCATTGAGATTGATATGCCGTAAAACCAAACCTTAGAAGGAAACATTCAATGACCGAGCAGCCAGTTGAAATTTATAAAATCTTCCTCTTAAAACATTTTTTCAGGAAAGTCGGTTTCTCAAGTGCACTCTCAACGCTCTTTGCGGTATTGATGGAGTTTCCTTCCTAACCTTTTGTTTGAAGTAGTGTGCAATGTGAACATCTTGATTATGTCATTATTTTCTCTTCAAATTCATTTTAGTTGTTCTTTCTAATGAATGTCCTTAACTGATGTTTTTTTTCTTATTTCATACAGTTCTCTGTTTGTCATTGTGTAGCGCCAGTCCACGCAGTTCAAAGAAGGATTGTCCTCTCCAAAACCTAGAGGTCTCATTCATTCAAAGCCATTTTTAATCAATAAAAGCGATTGTGGACAGCCGACAGTTTATGCATTTCTGAACGAGTTTGACGCCATGCATGACCTCCATATTAAAGCCTCGATCTGACGAGGCTATTAAAGAATATGACAGATAAGTATTAAGAACTATAAAGAGTAAGGATTATAGAGTAAACTGTATCGATTAAAAATCTAAATTAAAAATCGAAGTAAAGCGTTGCCTGGTGAGTGATTGGACTACAGTTGAATAAAAAGACAAAAAAAATGGCTGAAGTTTAAGAAAAAAAAACGTGTTTAAAGATTCTTTGGGTATTGAGGAATCGGAGATCCGAGTTCGAATTCCAGTCGAATCCATTACATTCACTTACGTGCTAATACCCATGGGAAAGGTGTGAATCCTCTTCTCTCCCTCCAGCTATGAATAAATAGCAGGGCAGACTTGGTTCTATAGACTTGGATGGCAACTGGTCTACCGCAGAAAGAAATGGGAACCTACTGTGGGAAAAATCTGCCTCGTCAGTCATGTATCTTTCGATACATGATCTCCTAAGCGTGTATCGCGGATGACACATAACAGGGCGTGTGTAGCTAACAGAATCTTGCACAATCTTTTGTGTTGCAAAATAATGCGGTTGCTACATCGTGTCGAATGATACTTAGATCATCCGATGACGAAATCATAGCTTATTTTCTAACCTTGACTGGGGCTTTTCCTTGAATTGAAGAATATAAGATGATAGAAAACAAGTTACTGTTGAAACGAAGGCGCTAAAAAAAAACAAAAACAAAACAAAACAAAAAAAAAAACAGCGTGAAAATAATAAAAAGTGAGCGAGAAATACAATGAGTGAGAAGATTGGGTGCGTTAACAAGAGTGTATTTGTTTTAACAAACACCCAGATTATTTCCTGATTAATATCGATTTATTAATTAGCTTATTTATCACCGTTCGAACCATTACGTTTTTGATTTTTTTTTTCTCGAAGATTTTCTCAAAGCTTTATCAATTTCTTCGGCCTTATTTCATTGCAGTCATTACATTTTTTACTTCTAGAGCAAGTAATTGTGATCGCGTAATTGCTAAAATTCATTTAATTAATTTAAAATTCAAGTTCGATTGAAGAATTTAAATCCTGTTATACTAAATCGATCGAATTAATTTCACATCAATCGAACGTCGGTTATTTTGAAATGGACAAAATTAAAAAAAAAAAGTTCAGCCAAGTGATTTTCATATTTAACGGATAAAGAAAAGAAAGTGGGGGTCGATCCGAAAGTAATGCATCGATTTTAATCCGTGGGCAAGATGCATCTGCTAGTGTTAAATTCTCAATTTCTTGTTCATCTCACATAATTTTATTTTCTCCCTCTTACAGAAAGCAGCCCGGCTTACGGCCAAATCATGTTGAAATACCAATTCTCGTATGATCACCAAAGTTAAACAACGTCGAGCCTGGTTCATACCTGGATGAGTGACCGCTTGGAAATACCAGGTGCTGTAATCTTGGATGTGTGGGTGGTGTAATTGATAACGGCTTGGAATTGGAAATCGGAGAGCTGAGTTCCAATTCAAATCGGGTTCGTTATATATCCTTACAAAATACCGTTGCAAAAAGCCCTGGGGAAAATATGAATTCATATCTTCTCGCGTCGGCTATGGTTTAACTATAGGACTAGTATCAATAAATCATTATTTTAAAAAAGCGTTTTTAATTAATTCATCCCAACCAAGGCAATAATGCCACTAAGACGCAAGGGATTACTGGGAGTGAAAGAGAATGAGAAGACTTTAGAAGGGACCGGAAACAGAATCCTTAACCCGAGACAAAAGGAAAACCTTTCCTCCTGTTCAAAAGAGAGGGGAGGGTGTGAACCGGAAGTAGATGAACCAATCTATTTCTATTGTCCAAAATATCTAATTATCTTATCTGGCTTTAAATAACCTGCAAAAAATTTGATAAGTCGGAACAAAACAAATCAGTCAAGCAATACAAAAAAGTGAAAAGGATTTTTGATAATTTAATTATATTTTTAATCAATTTTAGGACCTACAATATTTTGGTTAATGTTTTTTTCTTCGTCAGAAATTTTAGCGTCTTTTTGCGATGAAAAACACATTGATTTGAAAATTCTGGCAAAAATCAAATAATAGTCGGATTTTAATTAAAATTTCAGAACATACAACTAAATTAAATTAATTATTTTAAAAACGTTTCTTTTTTATTTTAGAGAATTTTGGTAATATATATATTTTTTTACATCTATTAACCATCACCACGCACACACACACTTATTTAATTTTAAAAAAAATTTCAAGAAATTCATTTTTGTAAGGTTGACTTTTATATTAATTATAAGCACAGACCCTTGGAGAATTTAAATGATCAATTTTTCTTTTGTAAAATAGAACCCCCAGTTACAAAAAAATCAATAAAAGATATCATTTAATTAGTAATGCTTTTAACTGTGTCAGATATATTATGGACACTAATATCTTAAGAATTTGTTCGATGAATAGAGAACTTTTACAAGATTTGTTTTGAATTTTTAAAAATTTTATTTGAATGATTTAAAATTTTAAATCTTTTAAAATTCTGTATTAATTTGTACTGGTTAGGTGATATTATTATAAAATAAAAACTATATTTACTAATCATAAATGGAAAAACTTACGACAATTCTGCGAACCAGTATTTTAAAAAGGATTTTGAATTTTTTTGTGTCTGGATAAATGTGCCAATTTTTGTAAATATGGATGTCTATACAGGACATTATCCGAAAATAAGAGCGGTAACTGTAGTAACTTTAAAGCCAAAATGACTCCAATTCAATAAAAGATTAGCTTAAAATATTTTGATAATTTTTTTTTAATAGGTAATAATATTTGTTTCAAATCAGATTAATTAAAATTTAAGTCAGCCAATCTTATTCAAATAAAGTTTCAGAAAAGTACGTTTTATTTTTGAAAGATTTTTTTTATAAAGAGAATTACGTTGTTCTGAGAGATTTGTAAATATGGCTAAAATCAGTGATTTTATTCATTTAAAAAAAAAAGAAGAAAATATTTAATGTAGTAGACATATTAAATGTAAATCTATTAGCTTAAAATTCAAACTAAAATAAAAGTTCAAGAAAATGTTTCATTTTTTGGAATGTGTTTTAAACCCACGGAATCGCTTTAATTTGGATATATATATATATATATATATATATATATATATATATATATATATATATATATATATATATACACACACACACACATATATATATATATATATATATATATATACACACACACACACACACACACACACACACATATATATATATATATACATATATATAAACACACACACACACACACATATATATATATATATATATATGTTTTAAGACATTTTTATCTTTGTACATTCTTTTTTATAGATTTTTTTCATTATGTGGGACGTCATTTCGATACGCCATGAGCAGATATGAATGTACGTGAGAGAATCATGGAAGATTGTAGTTTAAAAACAGTAAAATCGACTTTGCCAACCGAAACGCTCCTCTGTGGCGAAATCGGTAAAAGCACGTCAGGCTATATGACGGTTCCGTATAGGATACAGGTTCGATTCCTATCGGAGGACACATATTTTCAATGACAATTTCTCGGACAATCAAGCCGGTAAATGCCATTAATACTGTTTATTAAAACAGAGCATTTACTTAAATATTTGTATCTATCTATATATATATGAAAAGTGAACATTGAAATCAACACTCAGATGTGCCTGACGATTGCGTCTAGCATGAAACTGCCCGTCGCCTCTGAGTGTTGACTTCAATGTTCACTTTTAAATTTATATTTACATACGATCTATCTCTGATATTGAGCACTTTAACCGATAAATATAGCACACCTTAAAATAATATTTCTTCATATATATATATATATATATATATATATATATATATATATATGTAAATGAATCCTAAAAAAAAATGATCATTAATATACAGAAGTGCAAAAATCAATAAAGCAATAATAATCACCTCTCTCTCACACAAAATGTACACACACACAAAGACTGCATACCCACACACATATATAAATATGATTTATGTATGCTTGCTTACGTATCTGTGTGTATGATATATTTCTTCATATATATATATATATATATATATATATATATATATATATATATATATATATATATATATATATATATATCTCCCAGTGAGCCAAAAACTACCTACCTAGGTTTCACCTAAATGGATCTTCAGTTCGCCCTATATATATATATATATATATATATATATATATATATATGATAAAAATATAGTTTTACGATATCTCTCACCATATACAATTTTATGTAAATATATCCTAAAAAAACACACACACACTCACAAACATACACACACATACACATAAAGGTACACACACACATATATGAATATGATTTATGTGTGCTTGCTTACGTACCTGTGTGTGTGTGTGTGTGATTGGGTTGTTTGCAGATTGGCATGTGTGTCTGCCTTCTTCTATTTCGTATAAACATGGCGCCGAAAAAGGAATACTATTCCACACACACACACACACACGCACACCAGTGAATTCTAACACTGGCCTCCGTATATTGGTGTTTTTCGTTTGAGAAATGAAATTTTCCTGTTTCATAATTTATCCATTCAGTTTCGTCAAGAAATCAAATTCCGCCTGAAGCCACACTGAAATATTTTACATACACTTTTACACAGTTTACACCGGTTTATAAAAAAAAAAACGTTAATGAGATAATTCATTGTTTATAGCCGAAGAAGTCCTTAAATTAAAGCAGAAAAAGAATTTAAAAATCCAATAATAATGAAAAACATTTGTTTTTATTTATGAACAATAAAGGCGGTAATGAATGATGTTTTTTTTTTTTGAAGTTCACAATGAATTTCAGAATAACGAGAAGAAAGGAATAGAATAAACGAACGATCGTGTGACGAAAGGCATAAGAGGATGCATAAGGAATAGATTGGAATGACGGAATGAATGAACAAGTTGGGTGAATGAAGGAATCAATGAATATGGGAGAACAAGAGTGTTCTGTAAAAGCTGAATGAAAGAATGAATGAAGAAATAGACGAATTAGCGTTTGGAATATTAAATGGGTAAATAAATCCCAAGAATGAATGAATAAACACGCGTATGAAAGAGTGAATGAGCGTAAATAGTAACGATTATTATCGAAACAGACTGAAAGTTGGTTTGAAGAAAACAATGCATTTTAAGAGAAAGTAATGTAATCTTTATGCTGACAGGCTACTATTTTTTATTAAAAATTCTTTTGTTGCTTTGACAATTTTATTTACTCAACAAATATTCACGAGTGCTTGAAAATGCATTCATAAAGACATTTTTAACTTAGTTTTCGTTAATAACACAAATACAAAATAATACTATTCTATTACTTATGACAAAAACAAAAAACAAAACAAAGCAAAAAACAAAAAACAAAACACGCCATTTTTTATAAACACCTTACAAATATTATGAGATTTACATGAGTGTTTAAATATATCTTCAAATTTTTTTTATTGTCGTAATCTGAACTTTGATGGAGTTATTTTTTCGCCTTGTAAACATCTTTGAAAAGTGCATCATTATCATATCAAAGACCCTGTCACCAGGCGTCGTAAGTGCAAGGGAGATAACCCACGGATCGAAAAAGTTACACATTAAAAACAAAAACGTAACTGGCTTATAATATATATATATATATATATATTACTCATATGTAGATTGTTTAATAATTTATTATATTTGTTTGCATTGGGAAATTTTTGCTTTTTGTTGAAGATGGGTACACTGGTGTGTTCTTCAGTTGTATGGTTAGAATGACTCAATTTCAGAAAAGAATGTACAAAACACTAAAACTGCCCAATGATATAACAACGCATATAATAATAAAGAAATGTCTATCAAAGGAATAATATTAATAAACATGAAATTAATCCATCTCACAGTCTCTTACTTCCTCTCTCTCTCTCTTTCTCTCTCTCTCTCTCTCTATCTCTATATATATATATATATATATATATATATATATATGTATTGATACATGCATTGTCATCTTCGATAATGACTTATGTAAGCCGAAATCTTAGATAGGATTAAAAAATATGTATCAATATGGCGATTTTCTTTTGTCTTTCAATGATAATGTTATTAAGCTTATCAGACAATATGAAAGAAATTTTTATTAAATAAATAGACAAGTTTTGTCTATATTATTTAATGAAACATGCATCAAGGAAAAAAGGCAGCCTAAAAACACACACACACAATAATACATACATATATATATATATATATATATATATATATATATATATATATATATATATATATATATATATATATATATAAGGGACACTTAAGTTAACACCCAGGGCGACACCCTGTTTCATGCTAAACTTAATCGTCATGGCCTAACAATTGCATTTAAGCTTGAAACAGATTG